ATTTGACACTCTTCTCTGAAGATTGGTGAGGGACTGCAGCGGGGCTGCCGTAGCTTTGTGCTTTGAGGAAACGTAAATTAGGTCACCGACTTTTCGTTCTATACTTAAAACAAGTACGAGTGTAGCGGATCGCAATCCGCTAACTCCAAGAGTCATCATTTTCTTAACCCAAGGCTAATTAGCTCTTCAGTTAAATCCAAAGCTGACTTTATTTATTTTTATCTGCAGCAAAGCCGCCTAAATTTAAACGCATAAATTTGCCTAAATATGTATAGTAAAATCTAATGACATGTATAACTACTGGTTATCCAGGCCCGGACCGCATTCTTGTTTGGGTGTGGTCACACCATGCCCATCTGGTGTGACACACATCCCTGTCACCAGGGGTATGTGTAACCCCGTTACACTCTCCCCCATAAAGATTGAGAACATTTACAGTTCCAATCGATCATTGCATCAACGAGGCTTGCGTGTCCGTTACACACTATTTTGTAACAAAACGACTTCCGTGCTCAATGAGCCCTGTGTTGATGACACCGAAGTCTCCAAGTCTCGCTAGTTCCGACAGCGCTCACGGGCAGAGCCCAACTTCGTCTTCCGTCGGACCGTGTCTCCGCGGCATCGAGGGATGTAAATCCTAGGCTCAATGAGCCCTAGCGTCGCGCTCCGCGCACGCTATCAGTGACGAGTGACGAGTGGCCTCGTTGGGGATGTGAAGGTCGTCTACTACGAGTCTGACACTCCTTTTCCCGCATAGGATTACGAGGAAGCCGCGCTAGCAGCGGAATACGAGCCCTGCTCTCGCCTTGCGGACTCCATGTCCGTTCCCTGACTTCTCGTCAACCGAGGAACGTGGTGTAATCACCAATGACCTCGACGGAGCTTAGAGGCGGCAGCTTGAAGCTGCCCATAGGGCGGCTCTAGAGCTCACCCATCCACGGCCAGTCATTCACCCTCCTGTGGAATCTGGCTTCCGCCCTGCGGATCCCGCTGTGGAATCGAAGGACGCTGTAACGCGATCGTTACGCGTCAACATCATCGGGCCCCCGGCCATTGCTGAAGTTGAGCTTGCCGAACGGAAAGCTCTTCGAGCTCGTTTCTTGGTTCCAGGAGAATTTTTGCTGGAAGCTTATCGCT